GGGAGATAGCTATAAGCGGGCTCCGAACCATGGCTTGAGAAGATGAGGGGGGGGGGGGTGAAAAAATATACGTGTATATACCAGTATAATACGCATTTATGAAAAAATGAAACTGGGGAAAAAAACGCAGTTCGGATGTATTATACGCAACAGAAAAATTTACCAAGCGATGTTCTGAACTATGAAAATCACGGTAATTTGTTACGAAAACCGGCGCGAGGATAAGGTTTCAAAAATTTACTGAACACGCTTTTTTTTAAAATACACACTTTATAACTTTCTCTTAATCCTGACATTCCGTATCTCGGCAATCTGGAGAAAATTATTTATTCATTTATTTCAACAAAGCACAAGATAATGTTGCGTAAAAGTATTAACAGATTTTTTTAAAGAATAGCTACGGTGATTTTGAAATTATCTGGACTTTGAAATAATTTTATTTTAACAAAGCAAGAGATATTGTCGAAAGTTTTATCAGTTGTCATATTTAATATTTGGTTCTAGATAATCATGCTTAAAATTAGACAATATTTTAACAGGAAACGAAATTGAAACATCAAAGTATTTATTTCTTTAACAAGACTACGATTTTCCTCTTCTGAATCTTCGCGGATATCTTATTTTCTAAATGATACCACTTTTATTAAAAGTTTTAGCATAATTTATATTTCATTTCTCAACTCTCAATTATTTAAACAAGAGGCCGATCAGTATAAGATAAGGTAAAATTACATTTAACAAAAAAGTGCCAAAACAAATGCTCAAACATACGAAAGGTCACCTCCGACCCCCAATTTTTAACAAAGAAAATAATCACAGCAATTAACATGGCAGTAAATAATCAGTGCTCTAACTGTAAAAACATTGCTTTGGAGTTAGACAATGTATATATGTATTTGACCAGCGCACGTGTGTCACAACATTGGCTTCCTTTCATTAATTGAGGGGTGTTAATATTGTTGCAGATTATCACTGAGTTATTTTAAACCTAAAATTAATATTTATTTTATTGTATTTCATTAAAAAATGATTTATTACTTTGTCAATCTCCTATGCAGAGTTGTCGTTCGTTCCTCTCTCAGACACGTGAATGTATGAGCCGATGGTAGAGAGTGTTACTTTGTCTGGCAGATAAGGTGCATGTGCACGTTCATTCCGGAAGCACGTGACATAGCTATGAGTGAACGTCTAAAAATAACATCGGTAATGGCGGCCACCTCGGAGACAATCAACATGCAGCTCAAATTACTTTTAACTTACTTTTTCATGTTATTTGGGCATAAAAAGATTATGAAAGTGACATTTATAAGAAGCATACGTCCCAAAAACTTTCCGAAGTTTAAAATATGGCAATTAACAAAAGAAATTGCATGTTGTAATAAAGTATATGATAGCCGTGTTGCATGAAAGAAAAACTTAAATCCCATTGTGATGTAAAATACGCATCCCTTTCTCACAGAAATTTATTTTAGGAAAAAAGTGCGTATTATTCTCCCCTAATTACGGTATATACCATTAGCGAAAAAATCTAACACATCTTTTACGCCCAAAACTGATGCGGTATAATCCACACATTCCGCACACTGGGATTATAGTACGTTTTTATCCGCTCGGTAATTAATTGTCTGGACTTTGTTCTATAAAAACTACACCCTGGACTGTGTGTTTATACTTATCAATTATGTGATGTATTCATTCTGAGTTGACATCCCAGATAAATTTATTAAAAAAACCAAAACAAATGAACTTGCACCTCCTTCATCCGAAAAGAGAATCCCATGTAAAGTAATGATTACATGTATATATGTATTTACATGTTACATGTATTGATAACATGTAGTTAAATGCAGTACGAAATAAATGTGAATTTTCACCCGACTTGTTCTTTTTTTTATTTCTGTAGGATTTATACAGATTTTAATCAAGTTGTAGATTATTTTGATATCTTGATTTTAAAAATAAAAACTTTGGTCCCACTTTCTGCCTAGAAAAGCGCTCCAGAAGTGCCCACACGTTTACCCCCTGAAGTAGGTTTTTATTGCTTATATTGATATTGTGTGCGATTGATATTGTGTGCTTATCACATATTACATTCTGAGTTGACATCTCTCTTAAAAAATTCCCCCTTCTATCCTTGAATTGAGAAAGTTAATGGTATGATGCAGTTAAATGAATTCTACTTGTAACTGTAGCATTGACAGCTTCTTAATCAATCTGAAGATTATTTTGATATCATTTCTAAAAATAAAACAGAGCGAAAAAAAACGTACACTAGTTCATTTCTATGTAAGTATTATAGGTTTATTCTCATGACCCAGAGAAGACTTTGATTCAAGCCCTATATATCTTCTCTCAATGGTCTTTGCTCGCTTTTAACACAGTACAGTAGGCCAGATGAGTACATACTACATACATCACTTTTGTTTACGATTTTAACACATGTATGACATAATGTCAAAAGGGATAAAAGTCCGTACTTATACTCTCGGGTCAAAAGTTAAAATGCTGTCAACACGTGATTTGATATAAATACTCTATTTCAGCAGTGATTTGATGGGACAGTAACACAAAGCACACTGAAAAAGTAAGAAGACTTTTCATCTTTTTCTTCACTTAATCGGAGTATTTACAACATTGTGTTACACGTGTATAGTACTTTGTGTGGGTCAACATTTTCTAATTCCTTATCTGGATCAGTATTGTCGTCATTTTAATTCAGATTAGATCGTTATCATTGTCATTAGTTCGCCCTGTCAATGGACAGGGAGCGGATCATGATGACTTAGTGTTGTTTTAATCAAGACATGGACTGTTTGCCACAATGACGGCTCGTGGTTCTGACAACATGACCTACAACTGTGGTATCCTGCCACCGTTGATTGTGCTCGTGGCGCTTTTCTTGTATTTTTATCTGGACGCACGTGTTCCGGAGCCCATACCAGAAAAGTGGAAAGTCAAAGTGATGGACGCTATGATGAAAACCTACGGTCACACGGTATGCCACTTAACACTTCAGTACAAAACAATAATCACTTGAAATCCCGGTACACAAAAACTAAAATGTTACGAAACACTTCCCTTGATCTCTTTTTGAAAGACTTCATTTAAATCTTTCTCATTTTGCTGAATTCGACCAACAAACGGGGTATTTTACAGTTCCTTTAACAGATAAATTCTTAAAATACTGTATTAATTTATTGACACATTTATTCGAGCATAACCTTATGTTTAATAAAATGAAAATGTTTTCAGGTAAACTTTTTAGTTTGCATGCGAATCACGGAACCCTTTTCAGATCTTGTCAGAAAGATCGCCGATTGGTTTGTGCTTACCATGGTGACTGGATTTCCTTGGGGACTTGGACCATATGACCCTAGGGTCAAGGTAACACGCAGTACTTTTCATTGAAATGTATTCTATATTGCACATTGCAGTAAATGTTTATTTTTTTTTTACTTTTACGATCTTATGTTAATATGAATTGGTTTTTGCAAATATGACCTCCAAAATACCCTCCATATGTCAAAATTTTGTCTTTGTTTAGAAGAAAGCTATTAAATTGATGCCCTTTTCTGGTTCCTTTAGATAACCGACACACATTTACGAGATGTTCGGGTGAAGATCTATGAGCCAGTCAGGGGACTGGGTAAAACTGACCGCTCCGTCCTCATCTACTTCCACGGAGGGGGGTGGAGTCTTCTGTCCGTCGGTAAGTTGTCAATGGATAAACGTGGAATACTAGTATATGCGGCTGGTATTATTTCTAAACGTTTGCTCAATTATTTTATGTGCATGTGTCCTAATTATAATATGTCAATTTCCTATTATTGTATAAAAGTGAGTAAATTTAATACATTCAAATTCTCTTGGCAGATTCGTATGACCCTTTGATGAGAAAAATATCACGTGAAAGCGGCGTAGTTATAATATCAGTAAAGTATGTCAAATCTTTTTCAATAAAATCAGCCAATTTATGTACATGTACTCAGTATTTTTTTCTACATGTAAATGTTGCAAAGAATCACTAAAAGTTAAGGATAAATTTTTTTTTTTTAACTTTTAGTTACAGATTAAGTCCGCAGTTTCCCTTTCCCATTCCGCTTAATGACTGCCATGAAGTTGTCGAGTATGTCATAGAAAATAGCGAAACCATGGGGATAGATAAAAGCCGCATTGCGATTGGAGGAGACAGTGCTGGCGGAAACATGGCTGCCGCCATCTCACTTCGAATGAAATCCAAAATTGCAATGCAAATGTTGCTTGTTCCATCTCTCCAGTTTGTGAATTTTAATACCACCGCTTTCAATGAAAATACACTGTATCTCAATCGTAGCATCCACGACCCGAATTCATTGATGTTTGTCATAAATTATCTTGGTCTGGAGCCAAAATACCTAAGCTACCTCAGATATAACAATCATACATCTCCTTCTTTCAAACAATCACTTCTGAATGAACATGCTGATCAGACACTGTGGCTTCCAAAACGATACGTACGAGACGAAGTTTTACGTGAAAACATGGAACAACCAATGGACACTGGTGACGAAAAACTGTTTCAAAAGATAAAGGACAAAATCTTAGATCCGTTAGTTTCACCATTGCTGGCAGATGATGCTCACCTGGAAAATTTACCGTACACGTACATTATGGTTTGTGGGTACGATTTTGTGAGAGACGATGGTATTATGTTTTACGAAAGACTAAGTCAAATAGAAGAAGACGCACACCTTGCTTACTACCCCGAAGCTTTTCATAATGCTTTATTTTTCCCACATGGGCCCTTAAAGCTTAATGTCGGCGTGCGGATTGTTGATGATATTGTTAAAACTTTGAAAAACGTTCTTTAGGTATTTTTTTTCACATAAATGTTACCTCACCTCATTTAACTATTCCACTATGTCATAATATTTAATTTATTTATTGAGAGAATGTTGAATAAATGTTTTGTTGACCAAATTTTCCTCGTTTCGGTTTTGATTGTACATATCAAGACAACGCTTGTTTTTCAAAACTTTACTTCAAATGTAAAAAACAAAGCTGCCATTATCTTGCGAGGAAATAGCATTGTACATTGCAATGTTTGAAATGCTACAATTATGATTGTCTCTAAAATGGATTTCAACAATGTCACTTAATGTGAAATTCAACAAGTGGCGAGAATCTACATTTTTCTTGTGAGAATTTGGCATATATCTTGGCTTTACATTCTTCAGTTCCAGTGAAGACACTGGCAACCCACATATTGTCAGGCAATCCCCGAAAATGATGCCAGATACTTCCCGCCAAAAGGGCGACTTCTAACGCCTTAGGTGCACAAATCCTGAAGGTCATCCTAGAACCCAGAGGAACGTCACCGACAATAGGTTCTATTAAGGAATTTCCCTGCCAGCGATGACAAGCTCGCGGAAGCGGTCGTTTGTCTTTGGCTGGTTGTTTGCAGTCAATGAGATACCGGAACAGAACTTCGGGCACACTGTTTTCATCCGCTGACACATTTCCTGAACCAAAGACAGATAAGACGTACTTGCCCATGACAGGACACCTGGTCTGAAAAGTGACAGAGTCACGATCTCTTTTAGACAAAAAAGTGTACCTTTGGAAGTCTGAAACATTGCACTGAAAAGGTCCATGATACTGGTAGGTATATGATATAATAATGTTCGCAGGAACTTGGAATCGAAGGAAGACGTCATCATAACTGTAAACAACCAATGGGTCAATATGAGTTAGTGGAGAAATATCTAATTTGGACATCAGTGGAGTCGGACCAAAAAATGGCACCAAAGGGAAGGGGCTTTTGAGATGTTCTCTTCTTTCTCTGCACTTAACTCTAAAAGCGCATGCGCATTGCAGAGAGTCTGAGTTCCAGTCTTCCTTCACGTAAATTGTAAAGTAATATTTCCCAGCTTTTGGAGGCGCAACAGTAAATATTGCTTTATGTCCAATGATTCGAATCATCGCCCGGCCTTCTAACTTATTTGGTGTTAGACTGGAATCCTTCGCCTCAAAAGTATATCCAAACCCGAGCAAATTCGGTATGTTAAACTGGAGGACAACAAGACCTTTATTTGTATACTGTGTGCAATCATAATGATTTGCAAACTTAATTCCATGGTTAAAGAATGGAGATTTCACAACTGGCAGGTTGATGAATTCTGTCAGAGTCACAGGACATTCAAGAAGCTGCCATTTTGGATTGTCTGGAAAGTGTTGATAAATATGATCCTCTGGGTCTGTGATGAAGTAGAACTCGTCAGAGCGGTAGTAAAACATGGAGTTCTTGGTACACTTTACGTGTCTTGCTCCCCAATTACAGTTAATAAAGCACCAGGACCCCTCGAGAAACACGGCCGTCCAGGAATTTCGGAATCTTGGTCCGTCAAATTTCAACCCCGGTTTGTAGCCAGCACCTTTGGAGTATCCTTTGATGATCTCACAGTAAAGACCAGCATAACTGTAATTTAAAAGTTTGTTATATAGAATATATTTGAAAACAAAAAAACACCTGTATAAAGGTCTTACTCCACTTATGTTGAACTCGCTTATTTTGAAATTCCGCTTATATTGAAATAAAAATAAATCCCCAGTTTTTGACTCTCATATTCTTTGCATTAAAATGACGGTTATATTGAAATCGGCTATATTGAAATTACGCTTATATTAACTGATGCCCCCATATAAAAGTTGTTTTCATAACGGTTATAATAAGTACTTGGCGGCTGTCATTAATGTTTTGACCAGTTGGTATAAAAGGTGTGAATAATTAAGTTTTAGCTTATGTGTTTTTATACTGTATGCTCTTACGAAATGAAATTATTCACTGCTAAATTCTTTTTCCATGTATATAATACGGAAGTATTTAAGCTAAAGGCAATATAGTAACCCCCAAAGATCTAGAAAAACTTAACTTTCAAATTGAATATGTATGTTAATGGCTAATTATAAACCTTAATTCGAAATAGCTAATAGATCAACCCGAGTACACTTACGATGAAATACATGCAGCGTTCAGCAGTATTCAACAGTTTGACATCGGTGTTTTTTCTCCAAAATGTAAATAAATGCGAGGAATAATAATTTGAAGATTGTCTTTCAAAGAAACAATTTTATTTAAACTTTCAAGAGAGACTGTTATAGGTAAACGATGAGACAAAATTAATTTGTTCGGGTTTGTTCTTTATTTTAAGATCGGAATTGAACTTTTAATTAAAAAAAAAATGGCCTTATCGATTTCGCTTATATTTTACGGATATATTGAAATAAAATGGTCTGAATTTCAATATACGGAGTAGGCTGTATATATATAAGATGACTTCAACACGTGTATGCCTATTTTTGTAAAACTAGAGGTATCTTTTTTTCCGTTTTTTTCAAAGAGGAAATTTCGTTTTCAAAGTTTAAAGAGAGATTTTCCAGAAATTCATAAATAGAAATACCTTTTGATGCATTTTATTTTAAAATGGTCTTATACATTATATATAAGAGATAATTGTATTATAGCGCTCGCTATTTCACAAAGAAATATCTCACTAAGAAAGAAATTCCTTACAACAATGAATTAATATAACCATATTAACATTCGAGAGATATCTCTTATATAATACTCTTTTTATGTCAGAGTTATATCTTTTTCACAAAGAGATACCGATATCTCTTTAGATTAGTGTAATTTCTTGTTTTGTGCATAAAAAGGTTTCTATAAATACAAAACAAGAAAACAGGTGACTAATATTCCATGTTAATTTGGTGGAGTTATTCTGATATGCCATTAATTCCGAGTTAACAACGGCTTTAAATCAATATGCCGGAATATAGGGAACAAAGCTGCATCAAATTGTCGGAAACGTATCTTGACGAACTGTCATCACACCGTCTGGCCTCGGTAGAAAAGCCCTATTAAGGTTGTCATATTTGTTTTTAATCTTTTGACCAGCGTCACCGTGAGGACCCTAATGGCATCAGTGCTATCAAATGACAGGATATCTATTGATTCAGTTGCACTCAGCTTCTGAACATCATTCCGCTTTGAAAAAATAGTCCTTCGCAGAATGATTATTATCAAGTCGTTGTTTTACACGAGTTTCATTTGTCTAAAGTTTTGTGGATGTACACGAGTTGCATTTGTTTGTTTTCAACACACAGTTTTAATTTTGCAATTATTTTAAAGCGTAATTTGAAAGACTGACAGTATCATTTCAAAAGTCAGAATTTACAATAATACCAAGAATAGTTCATATTTCTTTTTCTCTGTTTAATGTTTATAATTCCCCTGTAATCGAAGATTCGAGGATATATAGTTTTTGTCCTCTCCGTCTGCGTGTCTGTTTGTCTATTTATCTGTTTAATTGATGCAGAATTTAAATTTGCCCATAACTTTTGAGTGGGTGGGGCTATGGCTTTCATATTTCACAGGTGTACTGTATTCCTTGTGACAAGACCTTTCGTTGGGTACCACCAAATTTGACCTCTTAACCCTTGGCCTTCTAGTAAGACCCACTTTCCAAATAATTCTGATATCATTAGTATGGGATACCTGCAGAGTCTTTTGAAGAGATCGTGGTAACTTTCCGTGCCTTGTTTGATTCCACGGAGAATACCGAGAGGTGACTCGGAGCTCACTGCTTCGTCAATCTCGATCGTGTTCAGATCCTTAAGGCAAATCCATCGAAATATAGCCCTAAAAAAATCATTGTTTGGAATCAAGCATCATCTTTTTTGGAAAGATTGGAAAAATTCACATAAAAGTTTCCAACTTTATCTTCATGACGCTTAGGGTTAACAAAACCAAGTGCATAAGTTTATTTGTAACAAACCAAACTCCAAGTGGACACTTACCTGGCTTTCTCCAAATCACTTGTACAGTCTTGCATAAGATTTTTAACCAAGTCCGTAAAGGAAGAATAATCGGTTTTGGCAATCTGGAGAAAGAAAATTTTAAAGATGTTTCGAAGATGTGTGAAAGAAATTTTAACGTTTATAACTGTCAGTAGAATATATTTGAATATATAAAAAATCATTCAACAGAAATATTTGCTAAATAGGAAGATCAGTTATCTTACAATCAGCACTTTTTCGTCGATGTGTTCTAGTTCTCCTGGATTTTTAAACAAAGCGGATCTCCTGAACTCCGGCGGAGCTATCGGAGGAGGGCGACAGAGGTTCACGGAGGGAGACGAACTGCAATCCGAATCCGACGAGGACAGCTAGAAATGAAGAGGTAATTATTATCACCATCTTGTACAAAGTATGAGGAATTTGAGTTTGGGAAATGGTAGCAGTGTCAAAATGTGTTTGATCAAATGCTTATTCTTTTATCATGTTTTTTATTACCTCACTCAGACAAAGTTTTTCTGCAATAAGGAACAGCATTTCTTGGCTGTGCTTTTCTATCATCTGACTAACTCGTATTTTCTCCTCCTCACTTAGTTTTTCAACTAAGTTCTTTAATTTTTCCTCCCGTTTCCGTTTATAAACTTCTTCAATTTTTTGGGATTCTTTTTCAAAGCCTGTTTTATTTGACTTTTCAATTTTCTTTTCAAAGTTTGTCACAAGGTCTTTGACAAATTTCTCCTTCTCCAGCTTTATTTCGGATTCCAGAGAGTTGATCCGTTTTCTTCTCTCTAGTGTCATCTGGCTGTAGAGCCGATCTTCTTCCTCTTGTTGTCGCCTCTCCAGTTCAGTTTGTGCAACAAACACACCAAGACTTTCAAAATCCTGAAATAGAATTTGAAAATTCTTGAACCTTTATCAATTTTTAATTGGGATGGGGGTGGGGGTGGGGGTTGATTATGATTTCATTTCTATTTACACGTGTATTGATAGCAATACTAGTAACCAAAGATGAAAAAAAAATCTATTCATTTTTTTTTTTTTTTTGGTTCATTTGTCTCTAAAGATGGGTGATTAGCATATTTTTCTTTTTTGGATTTAAAAACAGAGTAAAGGATTTATCTTAACTCTCCTGTGATTTCTTTTTAACGTACTCATTTGAATTTCATGAATTCCGGAAAATTCAATAAAATAAAGGAATATTCAATCTTTTAAAGTTGACATTGAAAGACAATCGTAAAGATTATTTAATTTAACACACAGCTGCATATTTTAAAGTTAGTCTAAGGAACTATTATTTATACTTAGCAGGCCGAAAATAGGATCAGAAATACCAAATCTTCGCCATCTTGGTGTTGTAACACGTCACCAAGACAGTGTAATTACAACGTAATCAGTTTTATCCCCAAACGATCTGACATATGGCACAAGATAAAAGTCTTTTAAGAAAACCGACTTGTCTTTGCTCCAAGACTTTTAATGAATAAGAATTATAGGCAATTGCAACGTTGTAGTCTTGGGAGCCATTATTAAGCGATATCAAACGAAAAAATCTGTTAAGATACAATTCATCAGCGAAAAACCGCCAGTTTGATGAAATTGAGTTTGTGTAATCAGCCACGTAATTTTTTGCTTCTTTAGAGACAAAAGGAAAATACTTGATAGGTTCCGAATGAAGTCCGTAGCTTCTTCTGAAGGTTCAACTCTCGTTGGTGGGAAAATTCGAGAGCATTGGCGTCATACTGCCACCCTGGGTTAAATGTGCTTCCTCGGATCTACAAGAAGTTAAAATTTGTTTTAAAAATGATATTTCTGCTAAAATAACTTATACAAGATCTATGATATACATGTTTCTACATATGAGAACTTTAGTTTGTGAAAGGTCTTGGATACATCTTTGTATCTAGCTGATGAAACGTGTTACCGAAATTAATGTGCTTAATATCCCCTTGAGGAGAGTATAGATCTCCTATAATTACATTATCTGAGAGTAAAGAAAAATTAATTAGTATTGGTATGTGGACTTTCTCTATTGCATCTTGATATTCATGAAAACCCGTATAAATAAACTAATTTTCTAATATAGCTTTTATTATCGCTCACAACAAAATCTCCTATCAGATTACAGTTTTATGCTCAATTGAAGTGCACTGAAAATGCAATTATTAAACCCGATACATCCCATTATTTATGTTCATGAACACAGCTGTTCTCACCATCTAAAAACAATGAAATACAATACAGATTGATATTTTTTTAGTATTGTCAATATCATTGCAATAAACATCTGACTATGAGCCTTATCACTGAACATTGCAAAAAAGTTTTGAAAATGACAACAATTCAAAAACTTTTGTTTTTGTCCTAAGGATTGGGGACTCATTTTTCCTTACATCTATTGATCACAGCAGTTTATTAGAAATGAGTCATGTACGAATCCTTTCAGGATCCAATAACATTCCGAAAGGCCATAAGGCCATCACGTACTCATTTTAATTAACGAGTACACCTTGTCGCACGGTACATTACGATCGTGCAATCTCAGCCGGCTTGGTGACTCGATGACCAAAACCAGAAGCCAGGGGACATCATTAAGGGGGGCAACAGCCGGATTTTATCCGAGGACACAGGATTTTTTTGTCGTGATTAAAGCGTGCATCAAAGATAACCATTACATTTCGATTTATTGGCAGATGTATCTCGCGTGTGGATTAAAGAGTGTTTGTAAAGGGTTGATATGAACGATGTGGATACAATCAAAGATTGATGAGCCGTATATTTGATCAACATGTGAATAGCATTAAAACATTGAATATGACAAAAGAGTAACAAATGATAACCAAGGCGCTTTTCCGGGAAATGAAATGAGTTGAATTCCAAGGACATCGCTGTCATTTATTTTTATACAAAGAACTTTATATACATGCGTGTATATGTCAGAATAATTTTATTTTTTGCGAATTGCTTGAAGTTAACATTAATTTGGAATACAAAATTAAGATATTTGCATTACTCGATCCTTATGGTCAAAAAGATGAAACAAAAACACACAGTGTTGAAGATCCGGCAAAAGGCGCTGGATTTTTGTGTTACAGGAAATCTGTCTTCTTTGCAAAATTATTTTCTGTAAGCAGTTTTCTGTTCATATATTGTTTTGGTCATTCTGTATACATGTAGGTAGTTCAGATTACCGGTGTACCAGTGAATTTCCAATATTGACACAAAATATGAGATAAGTGATTGATAGAACCAACGAATTACGAATCCACATAACGTCAGTTTTAATGGAAGAAAAATTACTAGTCCTGCGTAACAAATTATTTTCCAAATAAAATATACATTTATAAATACACAAATTCACTAACAATGTTACTTTAAAAAAAAAGATTATCTCGTTTTTATTGATGAAATGTTTATTACCCCCTAGAATCTTCTGCGCTACGTATTAGTGCCACAGCATCTTTGGTTTGTTTGCTATAGTTCTGTAAGAATTCTTTATTGCATACTTAATTAATGCATTAAATCATACCTAAACTGAAACGAATAACATAGCTCCCTCGTGGTTTGCAGAAGAAGCATATAACACAATTTATTACTTTAACCAACTTTCTGTCAGTGTAATTTCCGAAAGATTTCACCAAAATCTACCGAAATGGCAGAAAATTTGATTGCAGACGGAATTTTTTTCTTGCATGATCTCTCTACGCCTGTTACCGCAAATCAAAACGTCTATGCACGTTGATGCGTTGATATTAAAGTTGAAATGAAAACAGAAAGCGCATGATGTAACTGGCAGGATTTCATGTGATTTTGTGTGGTGCTATCTGAAGAACTCTGCTTGCTCGTAAATTACTTTTAACTGTCATATTTTAAAAAAAATGTTGCCAGCAAGACATCTGTACATATGACTTCTACTAAACAAAATGATGAAAGGATCGGTGAAAATAAACTTTTGATGATGTAAAAAAGAATACCTCGAGATGTCTTTATTGAAACCTATTTGACAAGTTTTATCAATAAATTTATTAGATTTGAAGAACAAAATATTGTTGGTAAAATCTGATTTTGATGAAAAATACTTTATAAGCTCTTTACTTCATGTACTTTCAATACCGACTATAGCTTTATCTTACTTGTTCATTAAGTTGAACGCCCAGTTTGGGTGCATTGAGGGCGGACTGGATGCCCATAGCGTCCTTGTTGATGATGCCCACAATTTTGGGCAGATGCCCATGACAATAAACGTCGGCTGGCTGTCCATCCTGCTGCCATCTGAACGTACGTAATGTCAATTGTAATCCACATACCCTGCAACGGAAGCAACGGCGATGGAATAGTACACCAACGTCCACTCGTTCAACGGGGTACACTCGCTTCTGACACCGATAGCAGGTGTCCTTATTTTGGGAGGAATAAAACCCGTCCCCCTCATCCGAATCGCTGGAATACTGGTCGTCCATCTTCTTACCTAGACGTTGCTTACATTAATAATGCATATTATTCAAGGCATAGGGGTGCAATAAAAGATGTTCCATGCTGGTGAAAAGTTATCCAGATCTCTCTGCGCTACATCTTAAAATTTGTGATGAAAAAGAAAACAACATGTTTCTCATTAGGAAAAAACACAGATGCGTTGTATGTAAATGCCCGTGTCTTAGTCATTGATGAAGAAATGCCGATAGTATTTAATCGATACACATCCTGATCCATCACCGGTAATGTCAAAATACAGGTAACTTGTACAGCAGATCGGCTATATAATTAACACAACGCTTAATGCTTTACTCAGTGAATGAAACTAGACATTATTTCATCAATAAATCACTTGGTCTCAAATTCTTTGCCCTGTGCCCAAAGGCCTTTGCAGAGCAAGGGTAGTTATACAACCCTTCTACCTACAATTTCAATACAAGTCAGGGGTATCGTTACAAACATATCGAATACGCCCTCGCTTTTCTAATCTTGTTCCAGAAATGTATCGATTGATCCTAGTTGATGATCTCATGGACTCGTCAGTTTTAGAGCCTTTGTGTTTGACAGTCAACCACCATATCCTTTGTTTCACATTAGCAATGGACAGGTGCTCGTGGTGATGCATAACGAAGTTTTTTTTTTAAATGATGTCATTTTTTAGCCATTAAAATTGTTGTGTATAAATTATTGATAATTTCACCAGAAGATATTAACCTGAATTATTTTTCTCAAGAAATTGGACAGATTGTACCTGGATAATTTTTTACACTGATTACTAAAAGGCAGAAAATAACATATGGTAAAGCACGAGAAAAGTTGCCACTCAAGGAGGAAAAAGTAAAGTGCTTGTCGAAGAAAATCTTTGAAAATAAGCCCAAAGCAATAATAATTCATCATTTCTGTTTTATCAGTAATATCAAAGAAACGTTATTAGAAATATTTTCATATCTTAATTATCCTCGAATTCTCCATCTTGTGCATAACTTCAAACCCCTAAAGTATAGTTCAAAAAAATATTACGAATGCAAATGCGCGTGTATAATAATACTGGAATGCAAGAACGTTTCTGTCTTTTCAAATGCATTCTTTTCTAATATTTCTGGCACATTTTGATGAGTTGTACAAACTTACTGTGTATGGGGGAGGTTTTTATTGTTAGTGTGCGGATTATGTGTTAAATTAGCATTATGGCACACTCCCTGTCAGGGACTTGTAAAGTTCCCTTTGATGCCTAATCTCACGCTGTCGTCTGCTTATGAAACAGATCACTTCTTTAATTCAGCACACGTTTTGAAGGAGGAATATGAATAAAGACAGATGAAACACGATTGCCGATGAAACTGTAAAATGAATGCCCCTCGTCTTAAAAGAAGAAAGCATGATTCTATCGTTTAGGCAACTGATTTAAGATTTTGCAATCGAATGAACAAAAACGTATTAAAATGAAGCTGGTAATTTTTTTAATTAAAAAGCGTATACATTTATTGAAATAAGATGTGTTTATGAAATACTTATACCCCACATGGCAAATTTTGGCGAAAGTTTTACTTTCTCAAATGAAATTCAACCTTCAAGGTCAATGTAAAAGATTAAAAATGTTGGTGCCCAAAGAATGGACTTGTCTCGATTATTATACCCGTAAAATATGAAAGCCTAAGCATCAATCATTCAAAACGTTTTTGGCCATGTCTAAACTTTTTTTAAAACATGGTTAAATATCAAGGTCAGTGTCTAATCAATGACACACAGAACAAGGCACTGTCATAAGAAATGTACATGTGAAATATTAAAGCCCTAGCACCAACTGTTCTAAAGTTACGGCCAAGGTAAACATAAGGTTTTCAAATGCATGTCATAGTCAGAGGTCAAGGTCAAAGTTGTTGGTATATCTATGCAAAGATCGTGTCACAAGGTGTACATCTGTGAAATATACATAAATGCCATTGTACTCACTATTCAAATGTAATTTTTGTTAAAAACAGGTTAAAATTCAAAGGTCTCGGTCAAAAGTTATGGACGATGTTAAAGTTTTAGCATTAAAAACAGACAAAAGGACAAGACAGAAACTATATAAACCCCCCGAATCTTACATTAGGGGTTCATTAAAATTATAAACTTCATTCACTCATTATTGGCTATAATGATTTATTTCAAACGTAATTCAAACTTTCAGCACTCATACAATCAAGCACTTACTAATGAGACATTGATATGACTAAAGACCAGAGTATAACACACAACAAATCATACTTTATGAAAATGAATTAACAAAATCACAACAACTAGCAAATAAATAGTCATTATATAAATGCACATAAATAAAATATTTTGCCCAGTAATATAAGCCCCAAGTTATATTTCTGTTTCAGCATCCTCGATCAGTTCGTAATCTAACAGATGAGAGAAAGTGGACGCATCGCGATCTACCGAGAACCTGGCATAAATCTTCGCGGTTCCCGGGTTTTTCCCTGTGTTAATATTACCCTCCCAAGTGAATCCCAACTTCCGCTTCAGGTGATGCCAGATATCCCCGATGACGAGGAAAACCTCGACAGCCTGTGGGACATCCAGTCGAAAGGAATAGCGTTTATTTGTCATGAGGTCCCCATACACCGGTTCATGTAGGGTGCACCTCTGCCATTTGTGGAATGTCTTGGGAAAAACATTTGTTGCTTGGTTTGCTTGTTGACAAATAACCAAATATCTGTATGCACAGTCTAATGTTTCATTGTTCTCATCGGCTGCGTATAAAGAAAAGATGTAATATCCTTCCTTTGGACACCTGACCATATAGGTTGCTCCTGTTTCGGTCCGCGAGCGCAAGAATACATAGCGATCTATGTCTGAAACGGACCCATCACTAGCATCAAAGTATTGAAAGGTATGCGTAATTTTGATCTCTTTTGAAAGTTTAAAACTGATGTCTAAGGATTCCCCATTGGACACGATTAAAGGGTCAATCTGATTGCTAGTTTCTATGTTTAGACTCTCCATAATGGGCGTTGGACCGTAGAATGGCACAGGGGGGTAGGGCGGAGAGGGAGCTCCCATGATCTCCGTACAATTTATTAAAAATGACGCTGCACTTTCAAGACAGTCTGAATGCCAGTAGTCTCCTGTGTAAATTGAAAAATAATAAAGTCCCTTTTTTGGCAAGTTAATTGTAAATATGGCTTCATTTTTCACGTGACGAAGGAGAACGCGACCCTCAAGAGATCTGGCATCAACAGATTTATCGTAAGACTCTAATACGTGACCAAATCCTAAAATCTTGTACGAAATCAGACGAATTTCAACCATTCCGGAATCTGTTGTTAATGTTGCGCCGTAATTGGAATAAAACCGTAGTCCGTAATTGAAAAATGGTGATTTTACGACAGGCAAATTAAGGAACTCTGAGAAAGGCAATGGTATGTCAATTAGTTGCCACTGTGAGTCATCGGGGTAGTGCTGGTAAATATGATCTTCGGGGTCTGTCAAAAAGTAGAACTCGTCATATTTATAGAAGATTTCCGGTAGGTCATCTTTGTGTCCGGTCACGTGACGAGCCGCCCATGTGCAGTTGACGAGGCGCCAATTTCCGTCTATAGATACCGCTGTCCAGGAATTTCGAAATGAGGTTCCATCCATTCGCATTCCAGGTTTGTATCCTGCTCCTTTAGAGTAACCTAGGATTATTTCACAGTGAAGACCGGCATAGCTGGAAAACAATTAGGAAAATTATATTCACAAAGACTTCACGACTTGAATTTCATGAACAATGTTTAAAACATATTTACTGAAAATGTGTTGTTTGCTTAACCAACAATCAATTTTTAATCAACTAAAACCTTTTAAAAACAGTTTGGATTATCTTATGCATGTAGACATTTACATCATAAACTACGCTTGTTGACAACCATGCATCCAATACACCTGAGGGTGAATTTTAATTTTGGCATAAATTATTCTTCAATGTCAATAGATAAGCACTGTTATTGAGTATGCTGTAAGTCGATGTTTTGCAGATTTTAATACGGTTTTTTACAAACAACACAGTTCAGCATATGTTTTCTACACATCAATTTCTGGTGCTGATTATGTATGACGTACTTGCAGAGCTTTTTGAAGAGTTGGTGGTAGGTCTCTTTTCCCGTCCTCACCCCTCGTAGTAGGGAGGCCGTGGAATTAGGTCGTACTATCTCCTTCACATTATGTTTACCTAAATCTTTTGCAATTACCCATCGGAAAATTACCCTGTAAAAGTTAAAAGTTACTCAATTTTTTTTTGTAATTAATATAAAATAATAAAGTGAAGTCTTTTTAAGAAAGGAGTAATTAAGTCCTTTATTCACCTGTCTACGGAGAAAAGAAATGTTCTCTTTGATCAATAATAATTTTCAACAATGCACGGCGTAATTATTTCCTTCTTTTAACGGAAAATGGCAAATGTCTGGAAAATTGTCCACATGTGCACGTAAAATATTTCAATAAAGTTGGCAAAGCTTGAAGAGAAAAAAGAACCAGAAAATTGGATGGCACTGCGGGTGTAAATAACTAAATGATTCATAGAGTAGAAAAAAAGGAAACAAACTTCCATTAATAATTAATGAACTTTTTCCTGTTTTTTCAATGCTAACCAAACAATAAATACGAGCGTACACACAGAGGACATGGGAATTACGAATTAGTACATGAAAACTCGAGGAATCTCAACTACAGTATATAATACAATAAAATGTTACTAAATAAACACAACCGTCCTTTGGTAAGCACCAGTTTATTTTTCACATATCAATTAATTAAGGTCTTTACATCTAGCAAGGCTGGGGAATGACTATTTATGATGTTTATGACCCAGACTTAAACAATTCCGAAAGTTTAGAGCGTTTCACACATTCCTTTGAAACCCAACACCTTTTGGGGATGACGTGGGACCGTGCAGAAGATATCTGGAGTTGTCGTGAATATCTCTGAATTTGACATTCAGGTTCTCAAGGGATCGAGAAAGATGAGCGCTGATCCATATCGATTTATAAATACGGATTATGACCAATAAATTTATTCATCTCTCTGTTCACTTGTTAGGCTTCATACACAGCGAACAAAGAACCACAAATTCTAAACTTAATATTATGTATACATTTTATTCTTCATTAACATTACGGTAAAATCAATAGGATTACCAGCACAGACGACTATTATATTAATTACTGTGAAATCACTTATTTTCATGTGGGTTTAATTTTAGTAGTTTTTAAGCTATGAAGAGACCCACGAATTTATGTCCACCACGAACTGCAATTTTTATATAACTTCTGAGCAATTCTTCAACCACAAAATCAAATCCCCATGCCATTATATTTTCCTCAAACACGAAAATATGACCCCTTCAAAATATGTGATTTTACAGAATTCTTGGAGATTAAATAAATTTTATCAATTGTGTCATTTTCTCCTGAAGTGACTTAAATACAACATCATACATGTATAATTTTGAATTTATTCG